TTCCTCACATTGCACATGAAAAAAAAATCTTTCGATGCTTATTTTACTGCGGACACGTGAGAACGCCGTACCAAAAAATTCAGTATAACTTTTCGCTATCCTCAGTATGAAACCGGGAATTTATCTGGATTCTACATTGACTCTCTCTCTCTATTTTAGGTTTTGAGAAATTATTTCTTTGTCTGCACTCTGGATATTGTGTTTTCAAAAACAAATTCCGGTTCCATGATCCGTTTAGTAAAAAGTTATACTAAATTTTTCGGTACGGCAAAGCATCTGTTTCGAATTCCCAGCCTCCAACATGCCATGATGCCCTCTGGCGTCCTCTGGCTGCGCAGGCACGCGCGATTTGAAACAGATGCCCATGCGTTATCGAAACTAGTAATTTTACGCTGGAGGCGGGACAACTGAAGCTGCTCCCTGTCGTTCTCACTCCATCCACGACTAGGCTACAACTCGTCCGCACTGGTGATGGCAGTCACGGCGTCATCACTGCTACATTCTCGAAGCACGTCGTCGGCGTCGTCCAACGAAATCTTGCATTTCGCAAATGGCAGCAGCAACCGCATCTTCCGCGGTTGCCCGGAGATCAAGTTGCCCGTCACGGGTAGGGACCGATTGCACACTTTTGCGGCGTACCTTTGCAAGCCTGACCAGTAACTCCGGAAGCATCATCATCTATTTAGACTTTGGCCCGCGGAAGCCTCCTCGTTTTCCGTCACAGTTTAAGATCCCACGCTATTGCAGACTCCACTAGAGCATCACGTGCTCCGACGGGTCGAACTTGCGTCCAACAGCGCAGTTGTTGGTTGGTTCTGGATGAAGAAGGATCATAAACGAGCACCGAAAACATAAACTACCCGGATCACGCGTGTCAATACATAAAGCAGAACACATTTAGAGCTCCAGAATCATCTCGACACCCGATGAAACACCGTACGACCATGAGTCGAGCGAAAAACTGCGCAAAGAAGCCGTGGGGAGTGAGCCGTTAGACTGTTCCAGTGGCCTCCGGAGTGGCCCTTACAAGGAGTGCCGCCACCCCCGGGAGTCAGGCGCGCCTTCACAGCCATAAATTCGGATGAATTTGCCACTCGCTATAAATAAGACTCCTTTTCGCAAATAAAAAAAAAAAAAAAAAACGAAAAGTAAAATTAGCGCAGAGAAGAACGAACTGTCGCACGTACAGCCGGCTGAACTCGTAACAAGCTGAGCTGTTCCTAATATCGCTATTGTTTCTTTTTTGTCGGCGGTGGAATGCTTTAGTTCGATTAAAAGTCACAATCCACCCCCCCCCCCCCCCACCTTCACACACACACTTTAGATTTCCAAGAATTGAAAAATGGGTCGACCTACATTCGTGTAAATACTGTACCTCACTGCTAGGCCAGTGAATTCTTACAAAGTCACTGGCCTAGGAGTGAAATTTTCAGACATGGGCTCCCTGTTTTGTGCTTAAAAGAAAGATAATCTCACTAAAGTTAGGGTGGGATGTCTATTGACAGTGAAACATTCATGAGGATATTGCACTACTCCTGTTTCGTGGTAATATTCTAATTGTGAAAATTCTCAGAAACTTTAAAGTTAAGGTACGATCTGCCACTTAACTGTTTCCATCGGGACTAATTTACATTTGGTCTTCGTGAACTATTACCCTCCAACTTATATGTGTGATTTTCTATATTGTTTTGAGTCTGAGCACTTCAAAGAACTATTACCCCGGATTTTCAATATTACAGGCTGCTTTTGGCTGTTCCTAAGGAAAAAGAGATACCACCAGGCTGAGAGGACAGCCCGGTACCAGAAAATACGGCGTACATGTCGGAAAATTTGTCAGATCTCCGGAGATATCACTAAAAAGGTACGTGCTACTAAACTATTACTCTATATGAAAGGTGCGGTTCAATGATTTTCGAACTTTGGCCAATTAACAGCAGAAATTAATGTGTGACCTATGAAACAATAAACCACAAAAAAAAACGTATTTTCTACGAGCGTTAGATTTTATTAAAAAAAAAAAAAGAAACAATTCGAAGGTTAAAGTGCCTCTCAACTCTCCACGTCACCTTTCGAATGACAAACACTGGGAGATTACGTGGCTTTCTGTTGGGTTCTCTCTTCAAAGACCCAAGCCGCTTCCCTCTGCCATTTTCGACTTTTAAAGGATTATTATCGTTGAAGGTCGCGGCGGCCGGTCGACACAAAAGACGGTTCGCCACGGGGCCGACGGCAAGTGGAGCAGCGGAGGGGACAGTTTTTTGTTACTTCCGCGTATACCCCAGGGACGCTGTCACCGTACCTCTCGTAACCGGCACACGCGGCTACAGGTCGGGAAATAAATGGGGATTTTTTTTCTGCGATTAGGCAGTGGAATAGCAGTTTTTTGGAGCAGGGTGACGCTTTTTTGGTCAGTTGAGCTTGGATAAACATTATAAAAAATACAAACTGCCAATTATTTCAACATTATAGTCGTTTCACTACCCCTTTCAGTAACAAACTGTTTTGGGTCTCAAGTTTACAAGCAAATATTTGAAATTATGATATATATAGGATATCTACCCTACCAAAAAATCTTGTATAACTTTTCCCTATCCAGATTATGGAACCGAAAATTCATTTCTGGAAACCAAAAATCCACATTGCAGACAAAGGATAATTTTTTGAAAACCTAAATTCCAGATAGAATCCAGATAGATTTCCAGTTTTATAATCCGGATAGACGAAAAGTTATACTAGATTTTTCGGTAGGGTAGAGGTTAGTATATCACCAAATGCTTATGCAAAGAACTTTAAAGTCGTTTGTTGATCAGCTGTAAACTTGAAAAAGGCTGTAGGTTGCTTGGTCGCTAATGCCGCCCTATCGGGCCGTGCGCAATCACTTCCCAAAAAGTGGCATGGTCACACAATTACAATCAAGCACGTCACTCTTACAGTCCCTTAGTCGTCCCTCAGCCCACTCCTCTGTTAATGTATGTAAACGGCCGTCCCATGTTTCGTCGCTGGTCACTGAGTTGTCTTTGATATATGTCCAGGCTCATTCCTTTGGTGCATGTCCTGCCCCAATGCGCAGTCCCGCCGCCGCAGAATGGCCAGTCCCACCGTAGACTGCCCATGCTGTTGTTAATCTATCGTCACTTGCACCCCACGTTGCAGCCTTTTTACCCATTTCTTTATATTATTTAGCTTAATTTATATAGCGTAGACACTAGAAATTGAAGAAATGTACTACCGAAGCCAATACGCGCTGAAACGTTACTACGCGTGTCGCGCGATACTATGAGAGCCTTCTCTCGGATTGTTCAGCAAGCCTCAGTATGCGGTGAGGTAGATACAAATCGCTTCTTGCGCTCGTTGCACCACTATGCCGTTTCGTGTCAACTGTTAGCTCATAGTGGCGCAATGAGCGCAAGAAAAATCTCTCTGAACCTCAGCAAACACTGAGGTTCGCTGAAAAATCTGACAGGTGGCTCTGATGGTACCATACGCCACGAGTCATTGCTTTTCAGCTTGTATTGGCCACGATAGTACTTCCTGAAATGTTAATGGCCTTTTTGTACCACCTGGCCATTCCTCCCAGCGAAACAGTGTATGAGTCCATAAATTCACCATAACCATATCCAAGCAACGCAGCTTGTTTTAAATTATTTTTATCAATAGCTGCATTGGTCGTACTCGTACGTCAGGCTGGCGATTACACAATACCTGTGTGCAGTAAACGATATAATTAAATTCTAAGTGGGATATGCACTTCATCGTGCTCCACACATGGTGTAAGTAATCATGTAAGTTCCCACATGATGCATTTGCATATTGTCATGTTCCACCTCGGCCATTGGTTTAAGTGGTAGCCAACTCTAACTTCAATGTTTCAAATTTTGATTAGCCATCGAGCCACCATAATCAAACCATGCAAAATAGACATCCCAAAATACGACCGGCCATTCGACCATCAAACCATCAAACCATCAGACGATCAGACGTCTAAGAATACAACACCTTCAGGCCATCAGACCATCGAACCATCAAACCATTAAATCGCCAGACCATCAGACTACCAAACCATCAGGCGTTCCAAAATATGAATCATTCAGACCATCAGACCATCAGATCGTCAGGATTTGTCCTGATAGTCTCCGTCAGAGTTCCCCTCGGGATCGGGACGCTCCAGAGGACAGGCGAAACGCCGATGGCTTTGCGGAATATTCTGTCAAATTGGCTTGTCGGGTATATGAAAGGTGACGAGAGGGCCACGGGCCATTAAGGCAGAGGAAAAAAAAAACAGAAGGGAGATGCAGCGAAGGATGCCTAAAATTTTCCTTTCTTTACGGGAGTGTTAAAAAAAGAGAATTTTCATAGATTGTACTGTGTGTTCCATAATGCTTTTCTGAGTGGCAGACCTGCTCTACTTTTATTGCTCCACTGAGTCGCCTGTAGCATAGATATTTTAGTAGGGTTTTCCAGAAACTTCTTGATAAAAGAAACAAAAAAAAACATACGCTATCGGTAAAGTATGCACTAATGGTGTTTTAATATCTAATGTGGATCGAATTTTATTTCCAGTTCATGATCCTGGTAATTAACAGTTATATTAATCCACATTATTTCCAGATAGCACCGTTCAGGATTATTTCCAGATAGCACCCAATCGCACCATTCCCAGATTACACCCATCCGGATAATTTCCAGCTTTTGTGAATATCCAGAATGTATCAATCGAGAATTATTTTTCCAGTTCCATAATCCGGATAGAGCGTATTCTAGAAAATGTTTCTCCGGGCTTTTCAGTAGGGATGTGTTGCTTACTAAATGTGACATATTCGTCCCACGGTTCGGCACAATTATTCCCGAAATTTTTCAACTGGACCCGGTAAATGGGTGAGCTGTTAACATTCTTGAGCAAGGATTTCTATTTTGATTGATTTATTGGGAATATGGCTCGTGTATAAAAGGTCTCCAAGTGTTTCTTCGAGACTTCCGATATTCCCGCACTTTATGCAGCCTTATCTTGTTTTGCACAGACTGTCACCCCACCAGCCGTTGTTGCATCTTTTACAGGGTGCCTTGCATTCCTGAGGTTGTTTGCACTGTAATAAAAGAAAATGTATATTTTAAATCAGTGTTTACCGAACAAAAAAAAAGAATTAATATAACAATATGTAAATAAGTAATCTTAACCGTGAATATCTGTACTCCATTTTCACTGCCTGTTTATTGCATTCGGCGGATTATATACGAGAGATACCCGTTATAGTCAGTTGTGTAATTAACCAAGCTCTGTTCATGAGTTTTTAACAATTACTTTAGCTTACGCTTTCCTTTTCATTTTTTCAGAGGGCTCAATTTTCAAGGTCCTATGATTTGTGAATGATGCATGTGATGGAGCATGGTACAATTTAACTGGAGAATGCAAAAACACTTCAGGGCGAGTCCACACGGCAATTTTGCGGTGAGTACTGATCTAGTTGCTTTTAAAATCGTGGCGATCGCTTTCGCGCCGAAAAGCTGTCCCACGACCGTTACGAATTGCAATTGTCAATGCGCCTGAAGCCCTGCACACAATCACGGGTAATAGAGGGATAATTTTATATTACGGGTACGTTGCCATTACCCAATCAGAGTATCCGTGGCACTGCATTACCTAATAAGAGTAGTTTTATGCCTCCAATTCAATAGACGCCCCACCATTCGATAGGGTGTCCCTCTACAAAAATCTATCTTGAAGTTCTATGGAATGGCTATTTCCGTGATTTCAAGTCTAAGGTAATTTTATGGCAGGGGTGGATTTCTATGGACAGTTGACATCCTGTAAAATAACTGTTCAGTTGCGTTCAACAGTGACTAGGACGCCCATAGCATCACACGTCAATGTTTCATAGACCTTCTAACTTCGGAAGCGTTTCTTCTTTCTTTCTAATACCGCACTAGGGACATCCTAGAAATGGACGAGTCTGTGGACACCCCCGCATTGGGTGAGTCTATGGACATCCTAGTTCTGGGCTAGTCTAGGGAAATTCTCTTTCCTCTCTTTCTTGTGAACTAAAGCCACATGGGTGTCAGCTAGATCGGTAGCAAAACCAAATATGTGACTTTTTGTAATTCCAAAAACTCAGAAGGGGCCCACGCCTGCATGCAGCTTTAAAATTGTGAGGCATAATAAGTAACATCATTGTTTTGCACCTCTATTCATTACCGCAACCGCCGGCACAGTTAAACACTGTAAATTAAGTATCTCCAAGATGGTAAATGAAGCAGTGACGTCAGATATTGGGTATAGGGAAAGTAAACAAGGACTGGCTAGGTGCGTGAACAGGAGAGCTGTTAATTACGACACAGAGATATACGGCCGTTGTTGACGTGGAAAATCGGCGTTCACGCAAATTAAGGAACTTCGGGTGAGTGGATTTTCCAGTTCCTCCAAAGATTCGGTCGGTGAGATCTACTTTTTAAGCTTCTCTCACGCGAATTTTGATATGCGGAAACATAATCGTGTGCACCGCTGCTTCAGCTTGATATTTATGTCGGGGACGAACACCAGATTGCACTTATTCGTTTGTTTCTATTCGCATGTGTCCTGCGTTCTCTGTTTTGATGTGTAGATATTATCTAGACTTATGACATTGCCGCCGTCAAGTGTTCTGTTGACCATAAACAGCTCTTTCTCGAAGTGCGCCTACTAAACACGGCACAATCATTTCCAGGACTCTGACAAAGGAATGAATTCATTGACAAAAGAATCAACTCTGATACAGGAATCATTAACAAAAAAGAAGCCTTTATAATTTGTTGAATCCTGATGGCTTGGTCTAGTAAATTTTAAGTTGGTGTAATAGAGTTTCAAAGCGCAAAATATTTTATATCGAGCATCGAAGACCTAGTTTCAAGAGTCGGAACTTAAAACTGCGAAGTCAGCTGGAGGTTGAACTTTAAATAGGTTTGTATAAACAAAATTGTTCTATAATGTAGATACACGGCTGATACTGCAACTCACCAAAGTAAAACACCGTTGAGGAACGCATATTGAAAAGTGTTCCTACTCCACCCTCTTCCACTTAACATAACTTGGCAAAAGGTAAAGACTGCGGCCTCAGTAAGCCCAACAGCACATATAAGCGAGCCACGTGACACATTTTCGTAAAAACGATTTCTCTTCCGGAGAGATGTCAAGTGTTTCACTCTCTCCTTTTGGCTTGATCGATGAAGCAGTCGCGTTAGCTCACTGACACAAAAAGGCAAACGCGGACAGGCACGTGATAATTGATATATTATTATTTCAAAGCCATTGGCTATTTACAATGCTATTAACTCGTTTTAATTCTAAAATCGAGGCATTCATAACTGAAATTTGATAATAATAATAAACAAAATATTGTTTATAAACAAAATTTAATATTATAAAAACAGTTCTGGTTTATTTCTATCTAATATCCGCAGGGCCATAAATTAGTAAGTTTAAAACTCATATGATGTTCAACGCCCTACGAAATCACTTGCTAAAAATAAAATTCAACGCCCAAATTTACAGTCAATTTGATTAGGCTGAACACACCAGTGGCAAAAGAAAGCGCCGAAGCTGCTGTTTGAATTTAACATGAAGTCACGCGCACATTATCTAAAATTTCACTGCAGATTACTAGATAAACAAGAACCTGTCCTTCACCTTGCTCAAACTATATTCAACATTTTACACATTAAGATATATGCTTAAATTTACAATATAGAGGCTTCAAAGATAGATTTAAAGCGAAGTTAATCATAGAGGCCTCAATTCTTTACTTATGCACTTATTTTAGGCTGTATTCTCACTCACTTCCTTAGACAATGAAGCCTTAAATTTGAAGGCACACAACGGTAAATATTTCAAAAGAATGCTTCACATATTAGGGGCGAGAATGTAATAAGAAGCTGTCGGAAAAGTTAACTTACCTCTCTGTCTCTGCGATACTATAGCTCAATGAGAAGTTGCATACACAAACTCCTAACATAGGCAGCAATCTAAGTATGTTTATGTTTTTTCACCGTAGCTTAGATTGTAGCTTGAACAGCTTGAAGTCGCCTAGATACGCACCCCCGAAAAAAATTAGATAATAAAAAAAAAAAAAACTTGAGTGAAAAAGCATCCCCATCCATGTGGTCAAGTTAGGGATATCAATACTCGTGTTTCTTCAGCTTCGCCAACTTGTCTCTTACAGTCACAATGAGGAGAAGCCAGTCTATTGAAAACTCACGAATAATCGGTTCACTTACAGGTCTTTCACATTTTGGTCTGTTTGGATGGGGCTGCCACGTAGGCGCAGGCTCAACATAGTAGGTGCTAACAAATAAAAAGGATGAATTGATAATCAGAAGCAAAATATGATAAGCTTCTCGACAGGGTCAACAAAATACCACGAAGTCCATTAAAAAAACAAAAAAACATACAGAACATTTTTTATTGTATTCATATGGGTTGTCGAAACACAGGTTTTTATTCCTATTATTTTGTGTTATAATAGTTCCAAATTTTTGCGATCGCCCGACTGAGAGAGTGCTGCTTATGTCTTAGTTTTACCGCCTTTTTTAGTTAACCTAAGTAAGTGCGTTCTTCTTAATTCACTAGACCAAGTCGGCCCTTCCAGTTCCCCTAGAGCAAATAGTTCATTCTTGCTCCTATGGAACAAGTAGGCATTCTAGTTCTCTTGAGCCAGTCGTGCATTTTAGTTCCAATGGTGCACGTCGGCATTCTAGCCGCAGTGGGTCAAGTGAACTATTCTAGTTTCACTGGAGCAAATCGGGCATTACATTTCCACTAGGGCAAGTCTAAACTCTAGTTCATCTGGAGGAAGTCAACGCAGGTAGTTCCTCTGGCACAGGTCAACCATTCTAGGTTTTCTGGAGCAATTGGGCCATTCAAGATCACATGGTGCAAAAATGTCATTCTAGTTCCCATTAATCAAGTCCGCCATGGTATTTCAACTAGTGCATGTTAGCATTTTAGTTTCCTTGTAGCAAGTCGGTCATTCTAGTTTCACTGGAGATAGTAGTACATTCTAGTTCCAGTGGAGCTAGTGGTTCATTCTAGTTCCATTGCAGCATGGAGCCCGTTCTAGTTCCTCTGAAACTAGCAGGATATTTTAGTCCCTCTGGAACGCATAGACCATAATAGTTAGCGCATAGCACTTTTTCATAATGCGTCGTTAAACTTTCGCGACAACTAAACACTGAAGAAAGCGGCGCTTTGTATAAAGAGAACGATTACGTAGGAAGCGGTCTCGCGAAGGAAAATGGGTAACGCTATTGAAGTAGAACCAATAAAGATTGGGAGGCCCATTAGAGGGTTTTGCGCTGGTGTTTGCTCAATCGTAAGCACTTTAGTGGGCTCGCTTCGCAGTCGCACCACCGACGTGCGCGTTGTTGATGTTCACAGCTTTCGGTTTCTTACTGTCCGTCAACGCAGGCCCTCTTGGAGTAGCAACGTCACCTGTCACCGCTGCCTCTATCGAAGACGCCGTTCTTTACTGCTCTGGCTTCTGGCGCCCTCTTCAACAAAGGAAGGGGCGATGACCTTGTATATGACTCACCACCGAACTCGTCGGCGGCCTCCTGGGCGTCAGCTACATTCATGAAGTACTCCGACATGTCGCTGCTCACCACTGGCACAGCGACGCTGGCGTCGGTCTTCACGCACTGACTGTCGGTGCGGCAAAAGCGCCGGCTGATCGACCGCACAGCGCGTCCCACGACACTCCAGCCGTGTGTGGCCCATGCCTCGGCACCGGGTCCCTATCATTTCGTCGAAACTCGTTTCATGGAATTAAGTTTCGTGGACAACTTTTCGTGGACACACGTTTCATGGACACAGGTTTCGTCGACACTGTGACGTTTCGTCGACAGCACCACCGTAAAACGTTTCGTCGACAAACTTTTTTTTTTCTGTTCCAAAAGGAATGCCGGAAACTTAAGGTACATCCGCTTATAACAGATGACGAAGACAATGCCTAGCGCAGTAGCTCTCTAAGGTGAGCAACTGCGCTATCCTCTCGCTCTCATCCGTGTCACATGGAATAAGCAAGAGCGCGCAGGACTTCGTGCGCGGCCTATTCGGATATTTGCAAGTTCCGATGCTCATTTATGGAAGCGGAGGTTACTAGAAAAAGAAAAGTGTTGGAGAAAATATGCGTAGGCGCAAAAGAAAACTTCGATCCAATGATGGGTTGCTGAAAAGGGCGAGGACAATGCTGTTTTCCTTGATATTGGTTATCTTTAAACAAAAATACAGCTTGCAGCCTTTCATTGCAACATTACAACCCTAATATTTCAATTTAAATGAAGCATGTTCGTTACCTTCAATTATTCAAAAGGAAAAGTTCGTGATGCAGTGTTTTACTGGCTACTGCGACTTATACGCGAAAAAACTGTTCAGTCGCACTCGTTTCATCGTCATTTATCCTTAAGGGCCGTTTAAAAAGGTCAGTACAAAATAGTGGGCTGTAAACAATGACAAATAATAATACATAACAAAAGCAAAAAAAAAAAAAAACAATAACACTCTCACTACCGCGAGCTCGCTGCCCGCGAGTAAACCTAAGGAAAGCTACATTGCAATGCAAAAAAAAAAACAAGATTTGTAACATATAAATAATACATTACACCAAATTTATTCTTATTACAGAAGTTAACCATATTTAGTATCAAATGTGAAACTTAATGCATTATATAGCTTCTCTCGAGCAGCCGCCACGTGCAAGGCCTTGGAGGCGCTAGTACCACTAGACGAGATCTGTCGGCTGCAGCCGACTGGTCCTCACACGCTACATTCAATTGCTATTTTATCGATGCCAGCACACAGGTACCTGGGGCAAGTTCGTGACCCAGCCCTTTGCATAAACGAGCGGCTTCCAAATCTAATGGTCTTAGGTCACATATTGGTTGATGCGCATGCGAAATTTCAGTACAGACAGAGCATATGCAGAACTATAGTGTCATTTAATATCCATAAGCTAAATAAGCTAAAGTCTAAAAACATTATGCGATCTGGTCGAACACTACGTTGATATCGTAAAAATCGTATGCGATCTGATCGAACACTACGTTGAGTGCCCGGTGTTTGAAGGAGAAAACAACATGTGTTTTATCACCGTAAAAGTAAACTACACCTAGCCGAATGCTCAGTGTCCTTCAAAGTTTCTTTCTGCCGGCTAAGACCAGATGCCAATTAGCTTAAAAACTGATTTTAAGCCATTTTCTCTTTTTTTTTTGTTTTCGAATTGTTTAAGAGCTTCAGTGTTTTGACGAGTGGACTATCTATGCTATGCTCAGGTGGCTCTTGAGGATTCTACTAAAAGACGCGACGCGCGGAAAGATACACTTGCTCCAAAAACGATCCTGCCACTTCTTCAACGCAGTCGGAGTGTTGCGGCCAGCCAGCGAAGGGTTGTATTCGATTACGTACAGGCACCTCGATCACGGCGCCAAAAGCGGAGCAGTCAAGACCAGCGCGTACTGTCTAATGTTTAAAAAAAAAACAATTTGAGAAAGGACAAGGGTCGAGAACAAAACTTCCCGGCTTTGACAACGCTTCCCCGAAGGTTCCGGCAAAGACACGAGCGAAACCATACAAATTGCAAGTTCCAAAATCAATGCGATCGGCGCCCCCCCCCCCCCCCCCCAACCCCTCCCGCCAACCCCCCCCCCCCCCAAAAAAAAAAAGCAGAAAAGAAATTGCGATGGTTGAAGTCGGTGAGGCAGGATGGCTGCGCACTGGTTCGCCATACTTGGCCCAGTCGGCCATCTTTCATCCATGCATCCATCCAACACAAGGCCGAGCGCCGCGTAGGCACAGAGGTCGCGAGGAGCTGGCAGGGCCAGCTGTCGACGAAACGTCGCAAGATCTGTCGATGAAACGAGTGGTTGCTCGGTTCTACGAAACGATCTGTCGATGAAACATCGCAGTGTCGACGAAACGATTTGTCCATGAAACGTCGTTCGACGAACTGAGTGCCACCGCTCGGCACCAGAGACAGAGCGACGCCCTGGCCGGAATCGCCCCGATCACCAGGTTTCCTGCGATGCGAAACGTTTGGGGGAGGTCTTCCGACGTGACACACTGTTCCAGCTTAAAAGTCACTGACCTCGTCATCGACCCTCTTGTCCGCGCATCCTTGGACGCGACAACTTTTTCTTGGAACGCTTTCACTCGGCTATTGGGCGCCAGGGCCTGCATTGACCTCGTCCTCGGGGACGAACTGAAGCAGCTAGCACAGCTTTAGGCGGGTGTCCTTGTTGATGGGGTCGATAATGAAGCACCTGGAGTCCTTGACCTCGAAGTCGCTTACGACAAACATTCTTTTTTCCTCATGGCGCTCTTGGAAGTGACTCCAAACATGATTGAACTGATACGCCCCCAGGGCGAAAACTTCAGGTAACAGCGCTGAGTGAGCTAGAGCATCCCGAAAGTGCTGCAGACGATAGAACCTCGCTTTTAGATCGCCATGTAGGACAAAAACATAATCAAAGCGGTATAACTTCTTGATAGTGGTGTAAAAACGAATTGGTATTCCTTGGAAAGAGAGTGTGAGTTCCTCTTGCCGGTGCCAGGCTGGGCCGCTAAAACCGCTCATAAGGAGCTCGATGTTTCAAGTCCGTACTCGTCGGAGGCCGGAAGTAAAATCTTAAAGCTACGCTAAATGCATAAAAATCGCCTTGATCGGCATTTAATACGCACACGCGTGCGTATAAGTCTCGAGAAGTTCGCGCTAGATGGGCACAGTTGCAGTCACATCACGATATAACTTTTTGCATAATTGGTAATTAATTATAAATTCAATTTTCTAAAATAAACTTTGGCTAAGTGGCGTAAGCTGCGGCCCGATTAAAAGTCTTCAGCCATATCCATCAATCCAATAACCTGTAAAAGGAGAGGCCTGCGCATTAGGTTATGGTTAGTTCATCCCTGAGCCGCTCCAGGCGACAAGGGCGCTGAAGGTTGACGAGAGAACGGCGCAAAGCGGCAAACGCTGCTGTCTGTTGTGGGACGCTGAAGGACGCGAAGGCGGAGACGCTGACCTGTCTCGCGGTACGTCGTAGGTAGAACAGAGACGGTCGTGCTAAAAAAAACAACGCCAAGAGACCGCGTCGTGAAGACCCCAGGATGCGTAACGCGACACAGAGGTCAAACGAGTTCACCAAGACGTGCAACAGCTTTGCTTATACTACACCGTGCATTACCACACAACTGCTCTTTTTTAATTGTAATCTTTATTTGTACTTCGTCCCTGGCAAGTGGGAGTGCAAAACGGTAAAAAACATTTAGCTGTCGAGGCCCCACTACGCTTGTGCTTACTTGCACGACACGGAAAATCCGTGCGGGCGTCTTATCACACCGGTAGCCTCGCTGTTGCTCTACGAGTGGTAAATTTAGCGATCAACTATCCTTCACCCGCGCTCGTGGTTTTTGATAACGCTTAATAACGCGTGGTTTTTGATAATGCTCCAAAAGTTTTTAATTAGAACCATCGTTATTTCAAATATTTCAAACGTTAATTATATTCTATTTTAGTTGATTGTCCGACTGCTTGTTACGAGTAGCACCATTTATTATGTCACCTTGCCCCTATGACTCACCTGCGCGGTACGTATTAGTGTATATTTCACGGCACGGCTTTTTATAGCGGCAGGCAGCTCTTCGTGAACCGTCCCCCGGTTTCGCGACGGCGCGATCGTAAATGTTGCAGTTTCGAAGATAAATTTTGCGTCAAAGTTGCCGTCACGTAACCTATGCACCAATTAACATTCCCTGCTGCCGCAGCCGACGCTACGAGGTAAGGGGACCAATAAAACAGCGCCAAAAGCGCAACTCACTAGGTCTTTTTGTTCATGATTGTTTCAGCGTTGACAGAACACATACATAATGACCGCCAACATACTGGTGCACATTTGACGTTGTTTGAGTGGTCTTATTAGCTTCTGTCGTCGGTTATGTCTGGATTTAAAGCGAAACGAAGCATAGGTGGGTGCGCCCATCACAAGTAATGACAGGACTTAAACGACCGCGTTACAACTCTATGCGTCAGTGTGAGGAGTTCTTGCGACGCTTCTTTGAAGTGCATTTTTAAAATCGGGATAGAAAAGGTGAACATTTGTCAAATATAATATTGAAATTGATTAAAATTTCACACAGTATTTGAATTGGTCTGGCAACTAATAGTAATTGGAATTGATACTAGATTTGCAAGACGTCCTATGAGAAAGCTTATTTTCAATTTTATTTAGAAAATTTGTGTTGATTAGTCAATATACCCACCACGGTAATCCCATCACATAATGTCGCCAAGCCTGATAAATACTTACAGACAGTAGTCGCCTAACTATCAGCACCTTGTTATAAAACACTTGGTAGAGTTTAAGTCAAACACCCTGTGTTTACATTCAAGGCAAAAATTCTTTACCATAAAAACTATTTAAAGTTATATTTTGAATTTCAATTGTGTTCGAATCGCTCTAATAAAAAAAAAAAATCACTTAACACAAAAGGGAAATCGCGCTCTTAGATAAAGCAATTGAACTTATCACCTTTCCAGACCAGTTGAATATTAAAGTATCTTATATTACCCTTTCTACGGAAAAAAAAACACGCAAAAGCTGCGTTTTGTCACAGGGTAATTTATTGTCACTCTGGTGACAGTTGAGATATCTTATTTACATTCCAGCTATGTGTGACCGCGTATAGAGGTCAATGTAGTGCACCAATACATTGACCTCTTAATTCCGATATTCGGTAGTTCCGAAAAACAAGACCTAGTATCACATTTATAAAATGAACACCTTCAATAAGAAAAAAAAAGCACAGTTACAGGAGCCGCTTTTATCTAAACTGTAAACGAACAATTTATTTTTGTCTACTTGATACTTGATACAAATACTTGATTACTTTTCGATTGAAATTATTTTTATGACTACATAGCGGACCCCTAATTTTTGTGGAGCTCTTTAAATGTTTGTACCTTTTATTATATCGGTCATCGGTTCATATTTGAATAATCCACATAGTCCAATAATCCTTGATCTTCTGCTGTTTTTTAGCTCTCTAGCACCTCTGCTTGTCACGTTGTTCCGCTTTATTTCGCTTTATACATACCCGCACACCAATCTGCTTCGTAGCATCAAGGCACGTACACAAGTTGTTTGGAATATTGTCGATCCTGTGTCTGATGAGTGGTAACATATACGCGAGAATATCAGACATTAAAAGATGTGAGAAACGCAAACAAAGCTCAATAGTTGCGACTTTGGTGTAAATTGAATAGTTCCACGGATCAGGTGCCACGACTATTCAAGCGCCCATATTCCCCCTAGTCCAAGCCATAACGTCTGTAGCTCTAAAAGGCGTAATATCACACTGATCACTCATTGCCCTGAGTGAATCGAAATAAAATTTAAGAACTTATAGGATACGCACAAAATAACCACAACATAAACAGGCCTGTAAAAAAATGAGGGTACTCTCTTTCATTCAGCACTAATGTCTAGTATAAAATTTATAATTGTACGCGTGCACATATATTTTACCTTTGTAAAAGGAGCAGAGATACGATGACAATGGCGAGTACACGCATTGTCGCTATGCAATTATACTAGGCTACAACTTCTCTTGGGAGTGCAGTGGAGAGGAGTAGAGCCCGCGCACAGCTTTATTCATCGCTGATAATGGGAGAGAACGCGTGCCTGTACCCTCCATTGCATTGTCAACAAAAGGTTGTCGCCGAGTATAGAAGCCGTCTTCGCGAATGCCGTTTAAATAGCAATCTCATCCCTGGTCCTCAACCAAACCTTTTATATACTGCGCCGTAAACTTTGAAACGCTGCAAGTTAAGTCTTACGTACTCTACCGTATACTGCGGAAATATTTCGTATGTGCGGAGTTTCTGGACTTCGATCGCTACTGTACTACGAAGGCACCGCTATTTCGATTGTATAGCGACATCTGTTAACCGCGACTGGTATGTTTAATTTACGCATATTGCAATGGACGCCGTCGGTTGGCCTGCTTTCTACACGCTCAAGAAATCGTTTACTTAAAAATGTCCCGCAAGTCTTGGGGTGTGCATGGGCTTATTCTAATATACTAGAGTTAGTAATGGGACGAAAACTGCAGGGCGTCTCCTGTGTATTTCCGGCCTCCAGCACGCACAGGTTGCATTCTGCTGTGATTTGACTGTGAGTGCACACTTGAACATCACGAGACTCCGAATTGTTACTAAGGGTAGAAAGCTCGCGCTAGGCGGGACAACTGAAATATCTCCCTGCCGTTCTCGGCCTGTAAGGTATTCTAATAGTCTTCGCGTTAGATTAGGCAGTGCGACCAACTGTGAATATACAAAAGTCGTAGATTTTAAAATATTGTGACAGCGCGGGCAGATTGCTCGTCTGCCTCAGCACAAATACTTGATGACCCGCTCGCTCTTCTCATTCGCACACAATGCAAGAGAACTGAACAACTTTCTTGTCCAACTCGCTTGCACATTTACATTTAAATGCGTTATAATCGTAACCTTAAATGGCAGCCTTTCACACTTGTTGGTGTTAGACTGGTGGCAGGTGATAAACCCTCCTTGCTCTTTTGACGTCCAACGCCTGTTAGCTGTAGAGGGCATCACTAGAAATGGAGAGGTCTCGTGTTCTTCGGTGCCCGGACCAGGCGGATTTTTTCGGTAGCGCGCAAGGCGACAGAAAAAAATCCTCTAGTAGTAAATTCCATCTAATTACTACGTGTTCTTTAAACCCGTTATTTAAACGAAGTTAATTATCACATTTTTGTTTATTCTCCGACTTACTATGGCGGCTATATCCTTATATATAGTGCCCGCCAAGGCTGATAAAATATTTTATAAAGACAGCACTCGTCTAACTCTCACCCCTTTTTTCTAAAATAGCTTCGAGTTTAAACGAAACACCCTGTATATAAATTCATGGTGAATGTACTTATACCAGCGCTACCTAGAATTTTGTTTGAATTTTGTGTGAATTGCTTATTAATAAACAAAAATACTAAGAAATAAAGGAAAACCTGGATGTTTGAGAAAGCGCTTAAACCTATCACCTTTCCAGTCTATATAAATAATAAAATGTGTTACATTACTCCGGATCCACAAATGAAATTCGCTTCAACACAGGATATTTCATCGCTACTTTTGCGCCGGTTCTTACTTTTATATCTGACTTACCTTGAAGCAATGTGTGACTCTATACCGAGTATTTTTAATACACGAATGAAGTGACCTCTAAAATTTTAAATCATTTTGGTAGAATGAAGTGACCTCTAAAATTTTAAATTTCGTAGTTCTAGAAAAGCAATGCCGGTTGAGAATATATTAAATACCCTAAAATCTTCGATAAAAATAATTAAATTGCGTTTTCAGGAGTCACTTTTGTTTCAACCATAAGCCAACTTTTATGCTTGTTTGCTGTTTTGGCCCCTACTTTAATCACCCTTAATAGATTTGATCACTTTTCGATAATATTTATTTACAGGACTGTCAATGTTTATTGCTCAGTTTTTTAAGCTGTCTAAAGTTTTGAGCCCCTTATAATATCGGTCATGATGTTTGCCTTTATTAACCCACGCAGCCAAATAACCCTCGGTATTGTGATGTTTTTTGTTTTTTTTTAGCACACTAGCACCTTCATTAGTGCCTCTCCTCCGGTTTATTTTGCTTTATTAATACCCGCAAACCCACCTGCTCCGTAGGTTCAACGCACCGCACCTACATACATTCTTTTGAAACTTGTACGGGTTGCTAAGATTTTCAGGAAGCTGATTTGGGAAAAGCTTACCGTGAAATTCCCAATGAACCGGCTTGCGTTCACAAGGCCGGTGTAATCATGTCCGTGTCACCACTATGTGCGGGTGGCGTTACCTTACATAATATATTTACGCTATTTTAAGCATATATAACCACTTCCTTTGAAAGCATATACCGCCAATGCGTCTCTGATGCTCGTGTGTCTCATGACATCTTTTTTTTGAGTCTGGTTACCAAAGTGTATTTGCTCGGTGCGCAAACTGTGGGGGCGCATTTAGAGTTATCATCATCACTGTTGTTTACATAGCGTACAGAAAAGATATAAGGCGCCGCAGCAGATTTCGTGCCTCGTAATCTATGTAGCTTCGTGCGTTGTTCGGGTAACGCGGCGAAGCCTGCATTACGCATTGTTTTTATTGTTGCTGTCGGCTGTCTGTGGCATGTTAATTTATCACAACTGGAAGAGATGGTTGTTCTAATCAAACATTTTTAAAGGTGACCTGTCGTAATTCATGGATTGTAATATATCACTCTTTGCCCAGGTACTAATGCGGTGGACAGAAATTATAACGTCCATACATTATCCCAGTGCAACCCCTACCACGGCGAACACATGCACTCGTCTATTATTCGAACGAAAGGAAATGGAGAAAGGAATTCCCCATCAAGCTATAAATGGGCAAGCAAAGTAGAAAAAAAATGTGTATAAGCATTCAATAAAAGCAACTTTGTATTACCTGTTGATTGAACTCTCATGTGTAAGTGCTGGTCTCGTAAGTACCAGCTTGATTTTAGTTTTCGTTTTTTTAAACTAATAAATATTTCCCGAAACAACTGGCTAACCTCTCGGTGGCTGACTGCCAGATTAGTTTACACTAAATGCCATCTAGAGCGGTTTAACGTACCATAAAATAAGTCATGAATTTTTGTTCAATTGCAGTTCAAAAAGGATTATATATCTGATATAGAAGGTGTTCAAACCTTAAAAGCGCGGTATGCAAAGTCCAAATATTCTGTCAAGATAGATCACATACTCATAAATTTTAGGCTTGTTGTGATTGAAGCGAACGTTACCAGTGTGCTAACCGATTTTCAGTCCACAGAATTATCCTGGTCATAGGACGCATGAAATTAAATAAGCGGAAATATTAATAACTAAATTGTCTTTGGTTGTCTTAATAATATAGTACAATTAATCATCACCATTCAATCCTTTATCCGTGGGGGCCCAACATTTACACCTCAGATTTGTTCCTCTTTCAGGTGCGACTGTGTCTATTGAGGATCAGCTTCCCCAACATCCGAGAAGAAACATTATTGTTGACCTTTAGCAGAATCTACTACTGCAGACAGGTTCTCTTTTACTTTCATCTGTATTTCTCACATGACGCACTCCGTTGACATACAAGATCTGTATCGCGGCTGAAAAGAAACTAAGCTGGTTTGGAAATGGTGGTCCCTCTCACGTTAAGTGAGTGATTGGTGGTGAAATCTCTTTATCGTATTAAACGAGTATGAATCTCTTCCAGGCTCATTTCTTTACTTATCGAGCTCAACGTCGTCATATGCTTTTTTATGTCATAAAGTATACCCCGATTTCTATTTTACTGCAGCATAGTTTCAAGTGTTTATAAAAGGGCCAACGTCAATGAAACAGTAAAAAGAAAGATCGATGAGCCTTCGTACTCAAGGCCACGACAAAATTGTTTATACTTTTCAATACTTTTGGAATAAGAATTTATTTTACAGGGAAACGATTTTATTTTTGCCCTGCCTATCATGAAGGGGTGAATAATCATATTAACGCACATATTCGGTGTGAATTAGTTTGATAGTACATTGACCAACTGAAAACAAAATATAATAACACCAAGTAACAATGCTTGAGTGCAACTAAGTAATAATTTTTATGGTTAAGCTTAAAAATGCAGGAAACAAGATCCGTCGATTAAAACCACTCCCTTATTGAAGAGCCGTTTAGGGGCCCACCGAGTTTTTAGAAGGGTCTTGATGTACCATTTAACAATTTTTGAAAGGTACGAGATTTCGTCGAAGTTTTCAAAGGGGCTTGGTTACCCTTCAAATATTTTTGAGTGGTTGGAGAAGCAAGTCATATTTTGTAGAAGCCATATCGCAATTAATTTTCGGGAGAGCACCTGACGACTCATGCAGCATGAACGAATCTGGGAAAAAAATCACGTGACCCTTCAAGATCTATACCGAGGAAGCCGCTTGGTAATTTCGTGGTTGCGACCGCAACGGGCGGTCATTCAGGGTATGTTTCCTGTCCCGTGCATGGGATCTATCTTCTAAAGCAGCTCACAGCGCGGATAAGGAAGAAGGTCTCTAAAAACCGTGTTTGTCTTATCTCTTTGTATGTCTGGCTTTATAAGATAATTAAACGAGAGAAGAGGACGCCAGGGACGCGATCGCGGTGGCGCTAGAGATGACACCGTGACCGTGTTTGGGATTTCATAAAAAGAGTTAGATGCTGGTTTCGCGTTCGTGATTTTCGCTAAAAGCGTGACTGAGAGAGAGAGTGTGTGGCGCGCCTGCTTGGTTTTAGAAATTGATGTAGCGTACATCTCAAAACTTTAAGGAGCAGAATTGTGAGTACTTCGACATATACATTAGGCGACACAGAGCTTGGCTGTCTCTATTTGACCTGATCCCTTCTGTTTCCCTCTGCTTGCGCTGCAGATGGGCATACAAAACTGAGCATAAGAAAGCTTCCAATCACATTTCAAACATGTGCATTTTAGGTGTGTGGTTAAAGGGTCACTTTGCAGTCAAAAGTGCTGAAAGGCTTTGGG